GCCTTTGTGTGAATCACAGCACACTGGAAAATTCTTAAAGAGATGGGAATACCAGACCACCTTACTACTGCCTCCTGAGAAACCTGTATGCAGGTCAGGAAGCAACAGTTAAAACTGGACAGGGAACAACAGACGGTTCCAAGTAGGAAAAGGAGTACGTCAAGGCTGTATGTTGTCACCCTGCTTATTTAACTTCTATGCAGATTACATCATGAGAATTGCTGGGCTGGATGAATCACATGCTGGAATCAAGATTGCCAGGAGAAATATCAATAACCTTAGATATGCAGATGACACCACCCTTATGGCAGAAAGTGAAGGAGAGCTAAAGAGTCTCTTGATGAAAGTGAAAGAGGAGAGTGAAAAAATTGGCTTAAAGCTCAACATTCAGAAAACTAAGATCATAGCATCTGGTCCCATCACTTCACGGGAAATAGTTGGGGAAACAGTGGAAACAGTGGCTGACTTTATTTTCGGGGCTCCAAAATCACTGCAGATGGTGCAGTCATGAAATTAAAGGTGCTTACTCCTTGGAAGAAACGTTATGACCAACCTAGGCAGCATTAAAAAGCAAAGACATTACTTTTGTCAACAAAGATCCATCTAGTCAAGGCTGTGGTTTTTTCACTAGTCATGTATGGATGTGAGAGTTGGATTATAAAGAAAGCTGAGCACTGAGGAATTGATGCTTTTGAACTGTGGTGTTGGAGAAGACTCTTGAGAGTCCCTTGGACTGCAAGGAAATCCAACCAGTCCATCCTAAAGGAGATCAGTCCTGGGTGTTCATTGGAAGGACTGATGCTGAAGCTGAAACTCCAATACTTTGGCCACCTGATGTGAAGAACTGACTGATTGAAAAGACCCTGATGCTGGAAAGATTGAAGGCAGAAGGAGAAGGGGATGACGGAAGATGAGATGGTTGGATGGCATCACCGACTCAATGGACATGGGTTAGGGTGGACTCTGGGAGTTGGTGATGGACAGGGAGGCCTGGCATGCTGCGATTCATGGGGTCACAAAGAGTCAGACACGACTGAGCGACTGAACTGAACTGAGCTAGTCTTCCCTTGAACTTGGGACTTAAGATGACAGAGATGGGAGCAGAGCCCCTGATCATGGTATCTGTCTTTGTCTTGGTTCAGGCTGCCTTGCACAGCATCACAGACAGGGCAGCCTGAACCACAGACATTGATTCCACACAACCTACAGGCTGAAAGCACAGGCTCAAGGTGGTGGTGACCGTGGGTGATGTCATCCTGAGTGGATGATGTCATCCTCTTCCTGGTCACAGGCGGCCTCCTTTCTCCTCTGTGCTCACACAACCCCCTCGTGGGTTTGCAGGGATAGCAAACTCTCAATGTCCCGTCTTCTAATGACACGAATCCTGTCACATTAGCACCCACTCTTATGACCTCATTTAACCCTGATTGCATCCTTAGAGGTCCCATGTCCAGATACAGTCATACTGGGATTTGAGGAATCAATGTGAATATGGGTGGACATAATTTTATTTATAGGCTCATTTATACAGCGTGACCATGAGACCAAGGGATGTGCTTGGGGTTCTTAGCGATGATCGTCTATTCAGCTTTCTTAATTCACCTGACTCTTGACTTGACCCTCTGGGATCAAGTTTTGACCCCCTGAGTACTAGTTTTCTTGTTTGTAAGACTGCAGAAACTTTAGTGAGCAGTCCCTCAAGCACACTACTTTTAAAAGAGTGTATCTTGGCCTGGGGCAGAGACAGCTCTAAGCGGTGGTGAGAATAATTGTAGGCCAAGTCTCGTGTCCTTCCACTAAACCACTCTGCACAGGGCTGGGGGCGGACATGCCCGACCCCTCATCAAAGGACAGCAGGTCAGAGGTGGTGCCAGTCCTCAGGTGGGAGGTGTGGAGGGGAGGCCGGCTCAGGAGGCGATGAGCGTGCAGGAGGAACCAGGCTGCCTCCTCCAGTCTCCGGGAAGTCCTCTCCAAGGCCCAGTGAAGGGCACACACGGGGCCTGGCTAGAAGCTCTCGTCCTCTGCACGTTGAGGTCTGGTACATGCAGATCTGCAGGGACCAGGCAGCTTGGTTCCTCTGTGACCACGGCCGGGCGCGGCTGCGGTGCTGCGGTATCTTCTTCCTTCCAGGTCTTTCTCCAGGAGCACCAGAGACCCTGAAAGGCCTGGCTAGCTATTTGGAGTTTGGGGACCTTAAATGCCAGTCAACAGCCACTTTCACAGTGCACAAGATGCACCCCATTTTCTGAGGACACTGTCAATAGAAGTGTGGGGTAGAAAGTGGTAACTCAGATCACACTTTACATGAGCCTGGGGAGGAATCACCTGAGTGGGAGACCCTCCAGGAAACGTGAGAAGAACTGATGCTTTTGGACCCGTGTCCTCGTGTTCACCCCTATACTATGCATCCAGCTCCTTAAATGCAACCCAGATCAGTCTGCATTAGGCTGCAACGTCTGTCCGAGAGCCACAGAAAAAGGCCTGCAGGACAGAGGGCTCTCCCAAGTCTGAGCTCCTCTCATGCCCCAAACCTCCTCACTTTCCTGCAGAAACCCTCAGTCCTGGCCTGGGTCCCAGCCCTCGGAAGCAATGCTGTGACCCCTTGGCTGATCAAGTTGAATTGGTAATGGGCTCTGTGCTCTTGAGACAATTTCAGCACATGCCTTGAACAGGGTGTGGTGTTGCTGAATTTTATGATTATTGTCTTTCTTTCTTTCTCTCTTTTTTTTTTTTGCTTCCCCCTTCACTAAATTTAATGATAAATTTGAGGAAACAGGTCTCTAGCACATAGAGTTTTCTGCTTGGGAATCCCTTCCGTCCCCTCCCCCACAGGCGTTTAGTCGAGAATTCCTTCCACCCTCACGTGTTGGCAACATCCTTGTAGCTCCGTCAGCAAGGATGACTGAAGAGCAAGAGCAGCTGGGTGGGTGCTGACCCCCTGATTGTGGAGGAGCCAGCCCACCGGCGGGGATGGGCGCACCCAGTTCTTTATCCGGACAACCTAATGCTGCTGCACTCTCCTGCTAGCGCACGCGAGGAGAAGGCCTAGATTCTGTTGTTACTAGAAGGGTTCATGCTCTGTGATGAAGAAGCCCCAGAGTGGTCTGCCTCCTTTCAGGTCGAATTCGTTGTTTCAAACATGTTACCAGTTAGTGGATTTGAATAACAGAAGGTTACCTTAGTCGCTTTGGTGTTCCTTGTGGCTTATCGTCTAAGATTCATTCGACTTTTCTTTGAAAATTTACCCATATTGGTTTATTTGGTGGCAGTAGACTGTGGGTGAGGGCTTTCCTGGTGACTCAGATGGTAAAGAATCAGCTTGCAATGCAGGAGACCTGGGTCAGGAAGATGCCCTGAAGAAGGGAATGGCTACCTAATCCAGTATTCTTGCCTGAAGAATTCCATGGACAGAGAAGCCTGGCAAGCTACAGGCCATGGGTTGCAAAGAATCAGACTCGACTGAGTAACTCAGCACAGCATCACAGCCAACTGTGAGTGTAGTCGAGAGAGGTGAAGTGACAGTTAGCATCTTATGGGGCCAGGGTGCCAACCCCACCTCCACTTCCCTCATGAAAACCAGGGGAGGGTGGTCCCCAGCCCCCAAGATGATGCGAATGAGAGGGAACAGTGTCATCTGCACAGAAGGCTCCTGGCTATGGTGGACACGTGGAACATGGTAACAATAATAGGTCATTATTATAGCATCCTTACTAGTCTCTTTTCCATGCTGACTTTTCCATGGAAGTCTCTTTTTCATGGACTTTAGTGTCTTGAAGTCTTTGGTGATGTCACTCCCTGTTTTGATGTATTAAGCTTATAAGAAAATGACTTTTTTTCTGAGGCTGAGGGAAGCCAAGCTGACAGCATCATTAGCCAGAATGCCCATCTTCATGGCCCTTGTGAGGGTTAGTGCTGCCCTGGTCCCACCAAGTGCCCTTTCAGAGTCCTGGGAACCAGTGGGGTGCTGAGTCTCCTAAGTGTGACTCCGGGGTCTCCTGGTTAGAGCATAGGCTGTTACCTAACCACCTCCTGGACAGTAGGTGGGAGTAAGTATTGTCATGGCTATTAAATGTTTTGTGTCAACAAGAACAGTATTGATATTTTAGTAAGTGAACGGGACATAGGGCACTTTGAAGCTTTGCCTGTGGTGTCAATGTTCAGTTCCATAGCCCTCGAGGTTAGTGATGACCAGATGGTGGCTGGCTGATGGCACTCTGGTGTACTCTTGGTGTTCCCAAGTCTGAACACTCCTACGTGCCAGATATCTGGAAAGCTCCACTACGACCTGAAATAATTGCTATGTCAATTCCTGGTTAAGAAATAGATCAGAAGACAAGACCTACACTTTTGTGAGGGGTTTATGCCCCACTGCTCAGGAAATGTGTAGGAAAAAAGAGGTCAGCTTGAAATATAAAAGCATTCTGCCAGCTTAATATGAATGATGGAAATGAAATTTCACATTCTGTGGAACAATCCACTCTTTTTTAGCTCCCTTAGTAAATAATGATCTGTGGTAGGGGACATTATAAAAGTTTTTGACATTTCAATAAGGGAATTTTCATTTTCTTTGTCTTTAAAAAGCGTACTTTCTAGCTATAAAGAAAGCCATTGTCTTCTTCAACTTAAAATTTTGCTGTTTAAGATACACTATGTTTGCAAAGAATGAAAATTTTCTACCTTGTGTCCAGAAGTTAATATCATCTGTGCTGATCTTACAGGATTGTGGTCAACTTACTCATGGGCTTAACTAGAAATGCAACTATTTTTCCAGCTATTCTGATTTTGATGGTGTTTTCAGTACTGTGATTTCTTAGAGTTGACTGTATTAAGATATCTCTGTACAGTCATGAATGAGGAATTAACCAGCAGCTGTTTTCTTTCTTCATAAGGATGACCAATTTGCTCCTCTACCCACCAGTGCATTAGTCCTGACCTCTCTCAACCAGCAGAAGGTAGAGTGCAGACATTCCCCATGACCATGGTCTGTTTCTCTCTTCCAGCCACGCAATGATGGACCTACTGGTTGAACTTTGCCTTCAGAACCATCTGAATCCTTCCAACCATGCCCTGGAGATCCGGTCTTCAGAAACCCAACAGCCTTTGAATTTTAAGCCAAATACTTTAGTTGGGACCTTGAATGTGCACACCGTATTTCTGAAAGAAAAAGTTCCTGAAGCGAAGGTTAAGCCTGTTCCCCCTAAGGTGCCTGAGGTCAGTAGCACGGGAGTCCGTATGTCACATGAGGATGTGTGCAGTTCCCTGGGGCCCGGGGTACTGCAGGTGGAGAGGAGGGGCCACTGGAGTCCCTCCTGTCTGAGTTACACACGCCACGGCTGAGGCTTCCACTTGCATGGCAGGCAAAGTTAGGCCCTAAACGGAGTTTTAGGAGACCTAAGTTCACAGCTTTGAATAATGTGCATTGTGTAACACTGCTCCTTTAGATGTCAAAAAAAAAGGACCCACTCTAGAGCAGAACCACCCATCAAAGCTTTCTGCAAAGATGGAAATGGTCTATAATTCTGCTCCCTGCAAGCCGACAGCCCCTGATTACATATAGCCACTGAGCATGTGAAATGTAGCTAGTGTGATCAAAAAACTGAGCTTTGCATTCCTTAAATTTAATTGAAATAGCACAAATAGCCAATGTCTACCCTACTGGACTAGTCCTAAAGGTTCCAGTAGAGTTCTGGAGGCCTTCCTCTCCATAGCAGAGATTGGAATATGTAGAAGATTCTAAGTTCTTCTCCGAGAAAGGAAATAGAAGGGGATTCCCTTTTGAAAATTTGATGTTAGAAATACTTACTCCTTGTACTTGGAGAATATTTTATACATAGGTTTCAAGCTTTTGCATATTGATTAAAGATAACTTCATCTGCTTACTGTAATTTTTAATAAGGCTTTTATCCTTTATCTCCAATGAAAAACAATGCTATTTCATTCTTTTAGATTATTGAACTATCCTAAATTTACTTATTTTTAAACATGGTACACTTTGGCCAACAGGTCATGTCTTCTAGGTTTAGATAATTAATAACTTTTAATTGGTGCCATCGCTAGGTGGCTCAGTGGCAAAGAATCTGGCTGCCAATGCGGGAGACACAGGAAACTCAGACTCAACCCCTGGGTCGGGAAGATCCCCCGGAGAAGGACACGGCAACTCACTCCAGTATTCTTGCCTGGAAAATTCCATTGACAGAGGAGCCTGGCAGGCTGTAGTCCACGGGGCTGCAGAGTCAGACATGACTGAGCATGCACACACACACACGCATATTCTGAGTTTCCCCTAATTCTTCAATTAAAATCAATATTCGAGGAAATTCCTTTTATATTCTGTGGCTTTTCTTACCTTCCTGAACCCTAGCTGCAAATTCCAGGTGCAGGTGAGCCCGGGGTTATATAGGAGTTCAATTTGAGAAGCATGGAAAAGATTCATGGTTCCATCTTTCCTTCTAAAATTCATTAAACCCCGGCCTCGGACTGGAAGGGAGTGTGAGACCTGTGTCATTCAGTCGGTACTCCTCAGGACTTTAGAACCATGTGGTGACCAGTAAAGACCACACAGAAGCTGACTCTGCGTGAACCGCAGCCTGCTACAGCTTTCGATAGGCCACTCGATCTGTAGACACTTAGGATCGGCTTTAGTCAAACTGGCTTTTCTCTTTCTGATTATAATATCTATCAGTATTGTTATATGCCTATTATATTTATACATCTCTATTTTTCTAGCTTAAATACGTGTGTGCAGTGCATATTTATGAAAATTGATTTGTATATTAACATTATAATATATATGAATATATTTATGTGGGTATTTTAGCTTCTTAAGTGAAAATTTGATATTGCAACCCCATAGACTATATCACTCCAGGCGTCTCTGTCCAGGGAATTCTCCAGGCAAGAATACTGGAGTTTGTAGGTATTCCTTTCTCCAGAGGATCTTTCCAACCCAGGGGTCAAACCAAGGTCTCATGCATTGTAGGCAGATTCTTTACCATCTAAGCCTATATATTTTTCTAGCTTAAATATATATGTGTAGTGTATATATATGTCAACATGATACTAGATAGGAATATATTTATCTGGGCATTTTAGCTTCTTTAACAAAAATTTGATGTTTTGTGGTGTTTTTTTTTCCTTATCTTGGATTGTTCACCATAGGTCCAAACTATTTCCCTTTAGAAAATATATTAGTGCCTTGTGCTCAGGTCTGTTTAGAATCCTTGAAAGACAATATGTGTGTTAGATTCCAAACTGGGATCCTCTCTGCTGCGCGTTTCCCCCTTTCATTCACAGTTTGTTCATTAGCAAAAGAGACGGGAAGGTCAATTTATTGTTCTAGACATTTACCATTCCCTCTTCAACCTGCTGTTTTCCCCCACAACCCAGTGACTCTTGGAAGACCTGGACCCAAAGGAAATGTTGCCCTGCTCCACTGTAGTGTAAGCAGAGCTGTGGGAAGATGTACTCATGGAATTCTGCCTGCTGTGTTTTCCAGAAAACGGTGCGTCTAGTGGTGAATTACCTGCGCACGCAGAAGGCGGTGGTGCGCGTGAGCCCCGACGTGCCCCTGCAGAGCCTCCTCCCGGTCATCTGCGCCAAGTGTGAGGTCAGCCCAGAGCACGTGGTGCTCCTCGGGGACAGTGTGGCCGGCGAGGAACTGGAGCTCTCCAAGTCCCTGAGCGAGCTGGGGATACAGGAGCTGTACGCCTGGGACAACAAGCGAGGTGAGGCCTCCTTGGGTCTTCGATGCAGTACCACTGACGCTCTGCCCGTGCGCCCTCACGCAGAGCGATGCGGACGCACGTTTGCAGGCATCTCCAATTTGGTCCAAACCAGAGCGGGAGTGGATGGGAAGTAAAATACACAGACTGTAATTATACCTCTTTCCCCCAGTAGTGCGTGCTCAGCTGCTTCAGTCGTGTCCGACTCTTTGAGACCCTATGGGCTATGACTCAGCAGGCTCCTCTGTCCATGGGATTCTCCAGGCAAGAATGCTGGAGTGCGTTGCCATTTCCTTCTCCACTCTCCCCAGTAGTGAGCATACCCATTACCCCTTGTCTCCTGTGAGCTTCCATGAGATATGTAGAAAGGGGAAAGATGAGAATACTAGGGCTTTTGTTCTGAAAGAACTTCTCAGAAACCACATGTGAACCTTGTTCTCCTGGATTTCCTTTTCAGTTGCCATTAAATACTCCCAAGTCTCACGCATTGCTCATGATCGAGACCAGTTGCAAAATTCCTTCTCACTCGCTCGCTCAGTCACTTCAGTCATGTCCGACTTTGCCTCCCCATGGACTGTAGCCATTCTGGCTCCTCTGTCCATGGAATTCTCCAGGCAAGAATACTGGAGTGGGTAGCCATTCCCTTCTCTAGCGGATCCTCCAAACCCAGGGATCGAACCCAGATCTCCTACATTGCAGGCTGATTCTTTACCATCTGAGCCACCAGGGAAGCCCATCTTGGGAGATGTAGGACCTAATACCTGGGAAAAGCATATAAAACCAATCTCTGCATTAAGGAGTGGGCCCAGCGAGACTGTGGTCTTCCGGGAACATGGGTGAGGCAGCAAGAGGGGAAACTCCCCCAAGTCTCAAGCTCCCTTTTCTGATACCCATGCAGGACAGGACACACTGCTGCACCAGGAGAAATAGCTACCCCAACCCCAAATCCCCCTCTTCTCTGCCTTGGGCACCCTCCCAGGGTCCCTTGCCCTATGACCCTGGCAGCCTTCCCAGAAAATAAAGGAGCATCTCCTGGCTTGGGGGGGGGGGTGTGGTGTGCTGCTCCTGGGGCCAACATCCCTTTTGTCTGGACCGTAGTGTGCCCTGTGGGCCGTAAAATATTTGATTAGCATCCCCACCATATGCTTCTCTCCCGCCCTCCTGGCAGTCAGACATCTGAGTAGAGAAGAGAACATTCCTCTCCATGAGGAGCCCTTTCCTTTGCTCGTCTGGGGTTTCACCACCTCCCAGCCAGCAGCTGCTTGGGGAAGGGTGACAGTCGTGGGCCGGAGATGTGTCCCAGGCAAGGCCTGCTCTGCCCTGGACCTCCTGGTGGTGGCAGCTGGAGAAGACAGAGGCTTTGCTGCCACCTGCTTCCAGAATGGTGTTTAGCAGCCAGGCGGTGGCAGGATTCTGGGGGATCAAGGTCAGTGATGCAGGCCTGCTTTGCACTTGGCCTTTTTCCTTGGGGCGTAGATAGCCGCAGGCCTTGTCAGGTGCTGCTGGGGTCGAGAAGCCTGTCTTCACTCTCTGCTGCCTGCCTTTTCCAGTTCTTCTGACCAAAACGAAGTCGGAGCCTTCCCTGAGCTGTCGAGGTACCGTCAGCCCAGCGCTGCCCTGCCAGACTGCACTTTGCATGGCTCTGGGCTGGGACAGTGGTGCATGGAGTGGCTTGAGAGGAGGCAGGGTGACATGCTGGGGGCACCTGGCCAGGCTGAACTGAGGCTGTGACTTGGTTTCTTGACTCCCTGGTTGGCTAAGAGAACAATGTTCCCTGCGTGAGGATTTGCTGTGTGGTTCTGATTGGTGAGAAAAGAAGGATGTCATTGTAGAAAATGGGCCTTTTATGAACACAGAATTTGAGTGCAGAGCAGACGTGGTCCATGCACAAGAGGCACTGTACCCTTCTTGCCTGTCGTTACGTGCCCTCAGGGTCTGTCCTGCCCACTGCAGAAATTGGGGCAGTGTGGATTGTGAAATCTGACCTTTTCTGTCATAGACAAATATGGAAGTGATTAGTCCAGATTTTGCATTCATTTCTTATAAGTTGTATATACTTTATGTACTGTATTTATTATAAATAGATATGTATTATATTTAATAATACATATATACATATGCATGAACATATTTACATAGACATGTAGGCACACACACATATTGAGATTTATATAAACCTTTTGGACTATACACACACATACTCCAAGACGATCATTAAAATTACGAGTGTTCATATTTTACAGAAATTTCTGTCCACGTTTGTTAAAGTGTTTAACAATAAACTTCACTTCTAGAAAAAGATAATGCAAAAAATCCCTTGGCTTTGGTCTGGAGCCACAGTCCGGGTGTCATGAGTGAGAGCGCTATGGCCTCAGCCACCCCTCATATTCCTCATATTACCTCCTCCATCATACGCTGCCAATTAATACTGCAAATAGAGGGAATCTCTTTTAAGAAACACCATAGACATCTCTCCAGAGAAGACGTGGATGGCCAACAGGCACATGACAAGATGTTCCACATCAGGAATTATTAGAGAAATGCAAATCAAAACTGATCAGAATGGCCATAGTTTAAAAGTCTACAAATAATAAATGCTGGAGAAAATGTGGAGAGAAAGGAACCCACCAGCACTGTTGGCAGGACGGTATTGGATTGGCCAAAAAGTCGTTCTGGTTTTTTTTCTGTAACATCTTATGGAAAAATTGAAATGAACTCTTTGGCCAACCCAATAAATTGGTGCAACCACTATGGAGAACAGTCTATAGATTCCTTGAAGAACTAAAAACATTGCCATATGATCCTACAGTCCCACTCCTGGACCTATACCTGGAAAAGACAAAAACTCGTAATTCAAAAAGATGCTTGCATCCCAGTGTTCATAGGAGCAGTATTTATTTTAGCCAAGACATGGAAACAACCCAAAGGTTCATTAACCTTTGAATGGATAAAGAAGATATGGTAACAATGGAATATTACTCAGCCATAACAAGAATGAAATGCCATTTGCAGCAACGTGGATGAACTTGGAGATTACCTTACTAAGTGAAGTAAGGCAGACAAAGACAAGTATCATATGATGTCGCTTATATGTGAAACCTAAAAAAAAAATGATAGAAATGAACTTATTTACAAAGCATAAATAGCCTCAGAAACATAGAGAATAAACTTACAGTTACCAAAGAGGAAAGTGGGGGAGGGATAAATTAGGAGTTTACAGTTAACATATACACACTGCTGTGTATAAAATAGCAACAAGGATATACTGGATAGCACAGGGAAGTATACTCAATATTTGTAATAACCTATAATGGAAAACAATCTGAAAAGAGTGTGTATGTATACATGTATCTCTCTACAGATATATATGTATATGTATAACTGAATCACTTTGCTTTACACATGAAACTAGCACAGTATTGTAAATCAACTGTAGTCCAATCAGAAAAAGCAGCACCATGAATAGATAGTTGTTTTGAACAGAAAGTACCTATATATGAAGGCTTTGTCAGTTCTGAGTGATTGATGTTGGTATACCATCTAGCTGCAAGCGTGGAAAAGCTGGATTAGAGCTATTACAACTGTTCTTTTTTGGCCCCATACCTGGTGGTCCTGTGATGAGGATGGGCCCTTACAAACGTGTTGTTTTCATGCAGTGCAGACCTGGTTCCCCTTGCTGATGGCTGTTCTGTTTCCACATCCGGAAGAGTGGATGTTTCAGATGAGCTAGTCCTCAGGGGTCCCTGCTGCATGCTCCATCCCTCTGCATCCCTCAGCTCACCTGTATCACCTTCTAAATCATTCTGATGTTTCCAAAGAGTATGTGCTTTAAGGATGAAGTATGTCCTCCCCACACTTGCATTCATATTTAAGTCTTAGTAAATGAGAATACATCAAAATAAAATAAATTCCACAGTCAAATTGTTATACACTTAGAATGATGGATTCAGGCTCCTAGGTGATGAGGATTTTCCCCAGGCCTGGCAGGGCACCGCGTGGAGCTTTGGCTGATGGGAACACTGTCAGGAGAGCCAAATGCTCCCACTCTGTTCTCCATATCACCCTTCCCCCAGTGCCTACCCGTCGCACACCTCACCGGAGGCTCCATCAGTCTAGAGGCACCGATATTAGACAGTCTTGCCTGCGGCTCAGCTCAGAGCCAGACAGCTGGGGGCTGCAGTCTCTGGGGCCCCGAGGGGCGGCACTGTGCCAGGGTGGCCAGAGCCTCTGTCCTGGGGCTGGTGACCCACCACTGCCCCCTCCAGGGAGAGAAATGAGAGGCTCTGTTTTGACCCGGTCTATGGCGGTGAGATTGGCGTAACAGCCTGTGTGCCTGTGATGTGTTCTTGCTCGCTCAACTCACAGACGCTGTCATATCCTGCACTTTGCACATCCGGTCACAGAGCAGTCAGTTCTAGAAACAACCTAGATGGGTGGTCTTGGGAGGGAGGTGGGAGGCAAGTTCACGTGGGAGGGGACATGGGTAAACCTATGACTGATTCATGTTGGTCTTTGATAGAAACCGAGTGGTTTCTGTCAGTTCTGTAGAGCAGTTATCTTTCAATTAAAAATAAACAAATTTAAACACACACACACATGTTGGTACATACTGTTGTTCACATACAGTTTTACTCTGTACTACAGAATATTTTACTATAGGCTCTGTGCCTGACAAAGGGTTTGATGCAATTAACCGTGAACCCCATGTGGACATGCATATTGGGGAAATGCATGCCTCACCATTGAAGCCGGTATCCATGATGGTTTGGTTGTCGTGTGGTGTGAGGCTGCTGATGGGCTGGGCTGGAGCCACATGCATGCAGCTGAGAGGCCTGACCCTTGTGAATAAGATGGGAGCCTTTGCCACTAACAGAATGCAGGGATCCAGGGGCTTGGTTTTTGCTTCTTTGTGAAGACAGTATTGTGTAGATGCATGTTACAGGGGCACTGACTTCCATGTCAGCCTTCTCTAGTTGGAATATGGAATTCTGGGTTAGCAGATGTTCATTGATGTTTACCTGGCTTGGGTTGGTATCTTGGTGGCAGAGTTTGTGAAATCCAGTCCTCATGCTGCCAGTGGACTGGCGGCCTATCCTTCAGCACTTGGCGGTGGTATGGAGTAATTCATTTTTCGGTTCTCCTGCATCACCTCAATGTCTTCTCCTCTGGCCGTATCTGTGTCTTGGAAGAAAAGAACAGATGAGTTGATGACAAGGGCTGGAGTGGCCTTCAGAGTGTCAGTAGATCAGTGGATAATGGTCATAGAGATCGTGGTGGCACTGGGTGTGCCAGGCTCAGTCTGCAGATGAGTATACTGGGCCCAGAGCAGGCCCGCAAACAGCACCCTTAACTGCAGATGCATATACTGGGCCCAGAGCAGGCCCGCACCACAGAGGCCTTAACTGCAGATGAGTGTACTGGGGCCCAGAGTACATCCATACCACAGCGCCCTTACTGCAGATGAGTATACTGGGGCTCAGAGCAGGCCCGCACGACAGCGCCCTTAACTGCAGATAAGTATATTGAAGCCAGAGCAGGCCCACACTGCAGCACTGTTAACTGCAGATGAGTATACTCGGGCCAGAGCAGGCCTGCACGACAGCGCCCTTAACTGCAGATGAGTATATTGAACCCAGAGCAGGCCCGCACCACAGTGCCCTTAACTGCAGATGAGTTGATGACAAGGGCTGGAGTGGCCTTCAGAGTGTCAGTAGATCAGTGGATAATGGTCATAGAGGTCGTGGTGGCACTGAGTGTGCCAGGCTCAGTCTGCAGATGAGTGTACTGGGCCCAGAGTATGCCCGCAACAGCGCCCTTATGTGCACATGAGTATACTGGGCCCAGAGCAGGCCCGGAAACAGCGCCCTTAACTGCAGATGAGTAAACTGGGGCCAGAGCACGCCCGCACCACAGCACCCTTAACTGCAGATGAGTGTACTGGGCCCAGAGCAGGCCTGCAAACAGCGCCGTTAACTGCACATGCATATACTGGGCCCAGAGCAGGCCCGCACCACAGCGCCCTTAACTGCAGATGAGTGTACTGGGGCCAGAGCAGACCCACACCACAGCGCCCTTAACTGCAGATGAGTATACTGGGCCCAGAGCAGGCCCACACTGCAGCACTCTTAACTCCCCTAGCTCTCAAGTGCAGTCCCCACAGCTTAGGCACCCAGGGTGAGGGTGCTTTTTGAGTGCAGGGCGCTGGGCCCCACCCCAGAGTTCCCCATGTTTGGGCCTCCTTGGCCCCAGGCCCCAGGGACACTGCTGCGGGTGGTGCCGCCTCACCCTGGAGACCACAGCTCGTGACTCTGTCCTCAGCTCCCTCCTGGGTTCCAGTGTCCTCACCTAGAACCTGAGCGTGCCGATTCTTGCTTGACAAATTCCAATGAAGAAAACTCCAGGAAAAGGAGAAGATGGAGTGTTTAGAAGTCAAGAATAAAAAAGCATAATAGAGGAAAAAACGGGCCCCTAGAGAATGAAGTGAAAATGGAAAACATCCTGGTTGATGAAGAGGAAGGAAAACTCGGGGCCCTGGGTCATATGGGGGCCTGATGTGGCTGTCTCAGACGTCCCCGGGTAAACCAGCGCTGTCCCTCCAAGTTCTGGAAACCAGTGGGTCCTCCGAGCAGGGGAGCTGTTGATGTAGTTTATTTAGCTTGCCTCTTTGACCACCACCCTCATAATTCCTAAAGCAGGTGTTCTGCACAGATGTCTCAGTCACGAGAGCTCTGCTGTGCAGTCTGATGGTCACAGCCAGCTGTGGTCGGCAGGCACCTGACTTGTGGCCAGTCTAAGCTGGGAGACTGTGCCATGCACACTGCATTCTGAAGGCTTAGTACCAAAATGAATATGACAGCGCATTAATAATTACACGTGGATTATGTGATGGAATGATAATATTTTAGATCTCTTGGGTTAAGTAAGAGATGTAAAAAGTAATTTCATCTGGTTCTTTGTGATGCATCTACTAGAGAATCTAAAATTACCTATATCATCCCTTTGTTTTTCTGTACACAGTACTGCCCTAGAACTTTTGGATTTCTTGTTTTTTTTTTTTTTTAAAATACCAAAGTTTGTCAAAACATTTAGTAATTTCATAAACCCAACTGGAGGTTTTGAGGTGGCTCAAAATGCTTTGAAAGAAATAGTTGATGGTTTTATGTTGATTGCAGCCATGAAATTAAAAGACGCTTACTCCTTGGAAGGAAAGTTATGAACAACCTAGACAGCATATTAAAAAGCAGAGACGTTACATTGCCAACAAAGGTCTGTCTAGTCAAGGCTATGGTTTTTCCAGTGGTCATGTATGGATGTGAGAGTTGGACTATAAAGAAAGCTGAGCGCAGAAGAATTAATGCTTTTGAATTGTGGTGTTGGAGAAGACTGTTAAGAGTCCCTTGGACTGCAAGGAGATTCCACCAGTCCATCCTAAAGGAGATCAGTCCTGGGTGTTCACTGGAAGGACTGATGCTGAAGCTGAAACTCCAGTACTTTGGCCACCTCATGTGAAGAATTGACTCATTGGAAAAGACCCTGATGCTGGGAGGGGTTGGGGGCAAGAGAAGGGGATGACAGAGGATGAGATGGTTGGATGGCATCACCGACTCGATGGACATGAGTTTGGGTGGACTCCGGGAGTTGGTGATGGACAGGGAGGCCTGGCAGGCTGCAGTTCATGGGATCGGAAAGAGTCGGACATGACTGAGCGACTGAACTGAACTGAACTGAAGAATGAAATAAAAGTCTAAGAGTAGAGTAAAACAAAGAAGCATTTGTAGAGATTTTTAAGTGTTTAATCTCTTGTTTCATATGCTGAAAATAACTTAGTACTTCTATTTTTTTCAGAAACCTTTAGAAAATCTTCACTCAGCAATGATGAGACAGACAAAGAGAAGAAAAAATTTCTGGGATTTTTCAAAGTTAATAAAAGAAGCAATAGTAAGGTAATTGTTTACATACACATATGACTCTATATTCTGTACAGAGTTTTTTGAGATGTTTGTCCTCTGCCTGTCTTGGAATTTTTCTTAATATATGTAAGCATATTCATCCCTTCAGGGAAAAGGGAGCATATCATGTCAGTATGCACTGAAATGCCTGCCCATACCCTACACTTGACTCCTAAGTGGTCTTGGGTGATGGTGTTCTATTTACTGACAGAACATGAAGCCATGAGCCTTCTCTGTTGGTACCTACACAGTCCTGATAGGAGGCTGAAGCTAAGTAAACATCCTCTGGATGGATGGATGAGTGAATGTGTGGTATAGGTTACATTTACACAAAGATCCCCTTCTCCAGGGGATATCCCCCCATGGAATGAACCTGGATCTCCCACATTGCAGGCTCATTCTTTACCATCTGAACCACCAGGGTAGTCATAATACAGAGAACAAAAAATAAAGACACTTAAAATCGTCTTGGAATTTCTTAAGTCATATATGCCTTCTAAGTACAAAGAAAGGGAGTGCTTGTGACCCTATTATGTTAGTTTTAAAAGGTTTATTTTGCTGTGTCAAATATTTTCTCCTCAATAGTGCATAGCACGAGAAAAAGAACTGTTGTGTGGAACATTAGCATTTAGCCCACCAGCTGGGTTTGGAAGCGTCCACCATCCACAGAGCATTAGAGGTGTGAGGAGGGTGAACACAGGTTGGTCCAGATCAACCTTCTCTTCCGATCATGTGGACCTCTGAGTCTGTGCACCAGCCTGCCTGGGTCTTGACCTTCCAGAGCCCATGCGGCTGATACAACCATTACCCCAGGTCCCAGTGGGGATGCTGGGGCACAAAGAAATGAAGAAACTTGCTCAGAGTCCAGGCGTTAGATCCTGGGTCGGCTTTGGTTCACCGGTGAGAGCTTAGTGAGCAGATTGGGTGGAAGCTTGTGGCCAGAGAGAACTCAGGGGTTTCTCCCAAATCCCCGCTCATTGGTTTTAAGAAACATTGGAGTGTATTGTTTTCCATGCATGCGTGCCTGCTAGGTCATTTCAGTTGTGTCCGACTCGTTGCAACCCTGTGGATCACAGGCTCCTCTGTCCATGTGATTCTCAGGCAAGAATACTGGAGTGGGTTGCCATGCCCTTCTCCAGGGGATCTTCTGGACCCAGGGATGGAACCCAAATCTCTTACATTTCCTGCCTCGGCAGGCTGGGATTTTACAACGTCGTGTTAGTTTGTGCTGTGCAACAGAAGTGGATCAGCTGTGTTTACACATGCACACCCTCCCTCCCACGCCCTCCTGAGTGGGTGACTTAGCTGAGCCCTGTGGGTCGTCACAGGCCACCAAGCTGAGCCCCTCGTGCTATAGAGCAGCTTCCCGCCGGCTCGCTATCTTGCACCTTGTTTAGTTGCTAAGCCATGTCTGACTCTTGCGGCCCCCTGGACTGTAGCCCACCAGGCTTCGCTATCCTTGTGATTTTCCCATCAAGAATCCTGGAGTGGGGTGCCACTTCCTCCTCTAAGGGATCTTCCCTACCCAGGGATTGAAGCCACATCTCCTGCTTGGTAAAAAGTCGGACACGACTGAGTGACTAAGCGCACACACTCCTGCTTGGCGGCGGGTCTTGGCCGCTGAGCCACCGGAGAAGCCTGGTAGGGTGCATATGTCAGTGCGACTCTGTCTATCCCACCTCCTCCTTCCCACACTGTCCACACATCCGTTCCCTATGTCTGCATCTCTGTTCCTGCCCAGCAAATAGCTTCGTCGGTACCCTTTTCCTAGATTCCATATATATGTGTTAATGCACAACATTTCTCTTTCTGACTTACTTTACTTAGCTCATTGCTCTTGATCTTCTGATGCTTTGGTTGTGGTTTTGTGGTTCTCTGTCATTACTAACTATATGTGTTTACCCCACGGTTCCATGTGTTCTTTGAAAATCTTTGCTTCCTGTGTGCCTCTGCTTAAGATCTTTGAGCCTTTCCTACCCCATCCCTGTCAGCCTGCTCTTCCTGCCTCCCTTATCCTTTCCTTTTCTGCCAGAATTACTTGAAATTACAAATTCAGGGTTTCCCATGTGAATTCCCCTTCACTCTATAAATGTTGGTTTTCTGATACCTGACATCTTTTAAAAAAAATTTTTTAAGTGTAGTTGGTTTATAATGTTGTGTTAATGTCTGCTGTACAATAAAGTGATTCAGTTACACACATATATATTTTTTCATATTCTTTTCCATCATGGTTTATCACAGGATACTTAATGTAGTATGTCTGTGAGTCAGTTTCTGTTTCATAGATATATTGATTTGTATCATATTTTAGATTCCACAAAGTCATAGCGTATGGTATTTGTCTTTCTCTGCCTGGCTTACTTCACTTGGTGTGATAATCTCTGCGTCCATCCATATTGCTGCAGATTTTGTTCTTTTTGATGGCTGAGCAATGTGGCTCCTGACACTCTGAGGTCCGTTTGCTGGGACTGCAGGCAGGGCTGTCCTGCTTGGTCCTCACAATTCTAATCCACAGTAAATCTACCCTGTTCTCACACTGAACTCTCAAGAGTCCTTCTTCTTGTATCTTGCTACTTTTGATAGATGAAACTGCAAGCAAAACCAATTTAAAAAAATCTAGAAATGCCTTTGTTTTAAGCAGAACAAGAGCCTGAAACATCCAGACAGTCTTGGCCTGATGGATTGGCCTCTGTAAGAGGCTGAAAGACCTGTGAAAGTGTCCCAGATGACAAGGAAGCCTGGTCTGTGGGTCCCAGGGGTTCTGTCTCTGCATACCCACATTTCTTCAGTCTTGGGCAACTAGAAATGTTTTTCCTTTCTCATGCACTTCATCTTTCTCATTTATTTATTTTGTTTTGTGTTCAACTTCTCTTATTCAATCATAACCTTACTAGATTATTTGTTGTTTCGGGCATTAGCTTCTCCTTCCTTGCTTCTCTCTGTTTTTATTGTTTGAGCTGCTATGCTAACAGTAGCTTCCTTTAATCTGCTATAAACCGGTTGAGAGAGGTAGGATCAACCCCATTTTACAGGTAAAGGCACCTGTAAGAGCTGTGCACTTTCAGTGAATCCTGGTGTTCAAAATTGCCCAAGTTCAGACACCTATCTTTCCAGAGCCTAGCTCTCATCGCCCACACATTGCACATACCTGACAAGCCTGAGTCTCAATTTTTCTACATTAAGAACAAGAGGGTTTTGAGTAAATCATTTTTAAATGGTTTCTAAAATCCTGTGATGTCAGATAGTCTACTAATGTCTGAGAAGAGAATAGTAAGAATGGTGACATTTAAAGCTAAAGTGAGTCTACCGCTATCTGTTTAAAGGAAAACAATATGCATCTGTGTGTATAAAATCTCTTATAGAGAATGTATTTAAAGGGATATCATTTTGGCTAAATTTAATGAGGGCAGATATCTTTCCTTGCTTTAAAATTTAAATTTAAATTTAATTTAAATGTTAAAATTTAACATTAATTTAATTTAATTGTTAATTTAATTTAAATGTTAAAATTTAATTTTAACATTAAAAAAATTTAATGTTTTTGATGTGATAATTTTTTGTATTATTTTTGCATTATTTATTCTCCTAACCCAGTGCTTCTGAAAGATACCTTAGAATCACCTTAAGATCTAGTGTATCAGCTGGATTCTTGGGTCACGCCCCCAGAGATCCTCATTTGAGAGGGTAGGTGGGGCCCGGAAGCTGTATTTTCCAGTGCTCCCCGGTGATTCTCTGGCTGGAGCTCACTGCACCATCCAGATCAAGGGAAACTTTCTTTTACACAATGAAGTGACATGTAATTATTGTTCACCTTTTACAGGTAGAGAGTGAGATATTTGTTGAGTTTCCATGTATGCCCAATGAGCAATGCCATGGTAAACTGAATTTAAAACAGACATTCTCAAAACCCTACTTAATTGCTTCGAATATTCATTGAAAGGACTGATGCTGAAGCTCCAATCCTTTGGCCACCTGATGCAAAGAGCTGACTCACTGGAAAAGACCCTGATACTGGGAAAGATGAAAGGCAAAAGAGGGGGTTGCCAGAGGACAAGGTGGTTGGATGGCGTCATGGACTCAACGGACATGGGTTTGAGCAAACTCCAAGAGATAGTGAAGGACAGGGAAGCCTGGCGTGCTGCAGTCCATGGGGTCTCAAAGAGTCGGACACAGCTGAGCAACTGAACAACATCATCATCTCTGATCCATTGCTGTTTTCATGTTGCATAACTTTCTAAGAAAAAGAGCTGTTTTGGGGAAAAAGACAAAAAAATCTATACTCATGAGTCATGGATTTCAAAATTGTTGTTTTCAGATCCATGAGCACTGATCAGGGGCTATTTTAGAACTTTCAGGTTCTTAACTGAGGGTAATGGCCTTGGATTAGAGCTGTTTGTGCAGATGTTGCTGCCTCGTGGAATGGCCAGGCCAGCGTGTTTTGCTTTAATAGTTGCTAAGAGTGACTGTTGCGTGTGATCCTGCTCTCACCTGGAGATGACTTGGGGCCTACTTGTGTTCCAGGCCGAGCAGTTCGGGCAGCCTGGGGTGGACAGCCGTGAGGATGCCTCCACGTCCACACTGGGGAGGAGTTCAAATGTGAGTACTGACACCCAGGGGGGCTTCTGCCAGCCTTGCGCTACCTTCCGGGAGAAAAATTAGGAACTGGCCTAGTTGTTTTTTGTTTCTTGGATTTTTTTAGTCTAGAAAGATGCATGAAGCTTCATGTAGCTTTTAGTTGCCCATTGGTACCTTCAGAAAATGAGGAATGTGTTAGTCTCCACATGTGTTAGTTTCCACTTCTCCCACCCCAAACAGCATGGTGGGATGGATCCTCTGTTAAAATAACTGAGCCACACCATCTGGAACCATTTCCTTTCATTCTTAGGAGCAGCTGATGGTTTTGGGGTCACAGAGCCCTATTTCCTAAATTCTGCAAGTATGCATTGAAGGAATTTTTAAAAAACCTTTGGTGCCTTCACATTTCAAAATTAGCATGTAGAAAGCTTCTTCATAATTTTAAATGCTTGAAAAAGAAAAAAATTCATAGCATCCTATAAATATTATTGTTTCAAACATGTCTAATAAAGTTTGATACAATCACATAGACAAATTCTTCTATAACAAGAAAACATTTTGCATTATTATTCTTTTTCTTGATTTAACACTTCCATGCCAGTCCCCATGTAAAATTATATTCTATTCAATATATATTTTATTCTTTAAAGTATTTTCTAAAGACTTGAAGTGAAATGTGATATAAAATGTTTATTTAAATTAGATTTTTAAATTTTATGTGACCATAAAACTGTGAGTAGGAAAATATTCTATATTGAGTTCTTATTACATTTGCAAATACATAAAAACAATATAAATATAATTGCTCATATGTAATTGTTAAACGTGAAAAGTGTATCTTTCCTGAAAAGATATCTTTTAATAAGATGAAAGGTAATTTTTAAGTTTATTTCTTATATTCATTAATGAGCATAATTTATAGATAAAACCAGAATAGCTTCAGATTAATCCTATGACTCCTTCCTTTTTATTGATTCAAATCCTGAGGAAATATTTTACTAAATATAATACTAATAAATATTATTATTTATTTATAATACTATATTATATGTATTATTCATATAATAATATTTTTATTATATGAATAATAATATAATAATAAATAAAAATGCTAAATAATTATTAGAGGATGGAAAACTTTACTGTTATAATAACAGTGTCCTTCAGTTCTTTGAAGTCCTTTTGGTTAATCCCATAGTGTATGCATGCATGCTGAGTCGCTTCAGTTGTGTCCGATTCTTTGTAATCCTGTGATCTAACTAGTGTCTCATGTGTCTCCTACATTATCAGGCAGGTTCTTTACCTGGGATACCTAGGAAGCCCAATCCCATAGTAATCTATCATAAACTATTATTTCGATTGCTCTTTTGTCTATGCCTGACTAGGTTCTCTTTTAAATTAGTCAATAGCCAAGATTTAGAAGCCATTTGATCTGTCACGGGATTTGTTACTCAATAATACTAGAGTTATTGACTAATGGGAGATATAAGAAAAAAAATACTTTATCAAGATTTGTCAAATAATAATTACACTCATTTCTCAGAGGCAGTTTTTTTTTTTTTTAGCAATAAGGTATTTTTATTTAAGGTATGTACATTATTTTCCTTTTTTTTTGAGTTATTATCTTTTTTTTTCCATTTATTTTTGTTAGTTGGAGGCTAATTACTTTACATTATTGTAGTGGTTTTTGTCATACATTGACATAAATTAGCCATGGATTTACATGTATTCCCCATCCCAATCCCCGCTCCCACCTCCCTCTCCACCCGATTCTTTTTTTAAAATATAATGTTTGATGGTATCTCTCCTAAAGAAACATATATGTAGAAATTAAATAGCATATATGAAAATTTATAATTATAAATATTATGTACATGTAAAGGAGTATTATAATTAAGTATGATATGGCTACTGAAATTGTATAAATTATTTTTAGAAAATTTAAGTGAGTCAAAATGACCAATTTAACATCATACTCTTGTTTTCATTCATGTTACATTTTTCAGAAGCTGGAGGTTAGAATTACATGTGTCGTAGCGACTAATTTTACTAGCATGTTGATCTGGGCTAAGGAATAGCAAAGGTGACTTTTTAAAAATTGAGATATAATTGATCCATAACATTATATTAGTTTTAGGTGCACAGCATAATGATTTGATACATGTATATATTGGGTTGGCTAAAAAGTTCATTCAGACTTTTTCATAAGATTAGTTACTATTCATCTACCAAAAAAAAAAAAAAAAGAATTGTGACTATGGTCATAGATGTCACAAGCACTTTCTAAATCTGTATTATCAGTAAGTTTTGAGGAAATTGACCTTGTCAGTTTTTACTCACTTTTGCCAAAACAGCATTTTTTAGTCATTTCAAAAAATCTCATCCCAAACTTTGTCTATTTTTGTTAGGATCTTAGCTATAGAGATTTAGCCCATTTAATTTATTGAGACCATCTGCCATATTAACTAACTAGTGAAATGGGCCCTTATGTCCAACTGAAAAGCCAAGTCACATTTACTTTGGATTAAAAAAAGTAACATTTTTAATTTAAGTAAATGTGTTAATCCTCATGACAGTTACCTAAAGGTAGCTATATGTTCTCAATTTCTCACACATCTCTTTAAAACATAGAAGTTTGATATCCAGGACTTGAAGCTCTTTCCCCTTTTAATCCCTATGTTTTAAGGCTGTGAAAATCAGCTGTCAACTTTCCTGACAACCAAATCTTACTGGTTGCCAATAAGAAGAAGGACTTTACTCATGGGGGAACACAGCCTGGGCTCAAACCCAGAGTGGCCACCACTCATCCATGAAAATGCCTGTGACCACTATTCTCATCTGACCCCAAATCGGCCTGAATGCAGTTGTGTAACGACCTTTAAGAAGAGCTGTGTGCTCTTAAGCAAGCCTTTCCCTGCCGTAAGCACACCACCAGTGCTGCTGCTTCGCTGTAAAGCAGACTTCAGTCCACTGCTGCTCTCTAGTCGCTAAGCCGTGCCCAGCTTTTTGCAGCCCCATAGTCTGTCGCACACCAGCTTCCTCTTGTCCATTCTCCAAGCAAGAATACTGGAGTGAGTTGCCATGCCCTCCTCCAGGGGATCAGCCCAGGGATCGAACCCACATCTCCTGCATTGACAGGCAGGTTCTTTATCACTAGAACCACCCAAGAAGCCCCCACACACAAAAGTAGAGTTGTGCAAATAGAAAGATGGGCCATATTCTTAGCTATGAAGACTCAACATTATTGTGTCGCAGGTTTTGTTGCAGATCGAAGTGAGGTGATTACACAGAGTAGTTTAAGGGAAGTGGGAAGAGCGTTTTATACATATATGGATGGTCTCTAGGATATTTTTTTCATTTTTAAAATTACAGGTGAAAAAAAATAAATAAAAAATAAAATTACAGGTGACTTTTTACTAGAAATCAAAGTCAACAACTGAATTTCTATAATGTGGCAGATTAATTATTGGCCTGGAAATAAGAGTTTACTAGGTTTGAAGCCCTAGGTCAAGACAGCACTTCCTAAAATGATGCAGGTCAAAGAGGACGATGCTCACAGCTCACGCCACCTGCCTGGTGTGCCAGGCCTGCACTTACTTCCACGATCTCCTTTCTTCCTCCCCACATCACTATAAATAAGAGCAGCCTTCCTTATCCAGAGGCAAAAATTTCCAGCTTCCAGAAGCCTAGTGGCTGATCAAATCTGTTGATGTCTGTTTATGTTTATCAATATGTTTTATGTTCATATTTGTATTTTTATGTCTGTGATATCTTGTCTGTGTTTTGAAATTACATTCTCCTCAATCAAGCATGTTTGTGATGTGACATTTCTTCAGAGCACAGCTCCCATTTTTATAAATCTCCCCCAAGCTCTTGGCTCCTAGCTGAGCACAGATATCTGCCCCCAGGGTGTGGAGCGGACTTTTCATTCCTGGGCAGCAGAGGGGCCTCTCTGCCTCTCTTTACTCATCTGTGTGATGGGCATAACACCATCCAGCCTGCAGCATCTTTGTAAGGGTTAGCAAGTATAGAGCTCAACTAACACCTTTAAGGAAGCATTTTGAAATGGTGAGTAAACTGGATGGGAGCTTTATTAGAAAACTTCCAGATGTTATTGTTTATTTTTCCTTGAGAAAATGCAACTGGTTTCTTATATTTGTAACCTGAAGAGCTGGAAGAGATTAGATCTGCATTTTAAAAATTATCCTAATGTATGTGAATGGCCAAAGTAATCAGGTCTTTCCTGGAAAGATTAATTTCATGTAAACTAATATTTACTGTATTCCAAGATATATCTTCATTTTCTTAATCAAGGATCCTTGCATCTGAATGGACATAACCACCTCACAAATAATTTCAAGCAGTTTTCCTGATTTGACATTTTCAGGGAAACTGGCCCTTCTCTGTGCCTCTGTGGAACCCCACAGATCTAGCCCCCAAGACACACGGTGGGGATGTGGTCAGTGTCCACTGCACGTGACTAGTGGCAAGGTAGGAATGGCCCTGGGGTCTCTGTCTACAGCCTCTGCCCTTTTTCTAAGCACATAAATAGCAGGATGAACTCTGCATGGTGATGGAACAAGGCACCTGATCTCATTTGTAATTCAGCACACAGAAATGCCACACATGCAGAAACACTGCAGCGTCTGATATGGTGGCAAATGACGCTCTGGTGTAGGAGGAAAGGGACCTGAGTTCTTATCCTGGTTTTGTTGTCAACTCCGCGACTTTGGGCAAATTGCAAAATGACTGTAGTGATGGCCATTTATCAGCCCCTCAGTTCAGTTTAGTCGCTCAGTCATGTCTAACTCTTTGCAACCCTGGGGGCCTTCATTTAAATGCTGTAAATTTGACCAGTCTAAAATGATAACAAATGAACTTACTTACAAAACAGAAAGAGACTCACAGACTTATAAAACGAACTTATGGTTGCTGAGGGAAAGGGATTGTTAGAGAGTTTGTGAAGGACAGGTACACATCGCTATATTTTAAATGGATAACCAACAAGGACCTACTGCATA